TGCTGTGCAGGTTGATAGAACAGTCTGGGCTTGATAATCTGATGTAACAGCAGTGCCTGTGTCTGTCTGAGGCTGAATGAAGAGTCTGGTCACTCTCTCCTCTCTGCACCACCATGATGGTGCCAGCTCTGGTTTGTAAACAGGGAACTTTTCAATAGAATATTTTTTTTTTTTTTGCATAAGCAGAGCCTGTGACCCCTTTTGCTTTCTTTTGAACAAAGCCAGTTCGTGGCTGGTGCCACCTTAGGGGTCCCCAGGCCCCCCCACAGAACAAGGGGCCATGCCCAAAGCACAATTAAGTCTCCCCAGTGCAGTGGGACCAACTCACCAACTTGGCTGCCTTGTCATAGACCATCTTGTACTGCTGATCCAGTGGGATCTCCTCGATTCTGAAGGTCACTCCAGTGAAACTGAGCTGCCTGGCAATGTACATCCCACTAACCTTCATGTCCATTGCCACGATCTCCATTGCACCAACTCCCCTGGGAGAGAAGGACAGCTGTGAAACCCCCTCCTCTGCTCCAGGGCAGCACCAGGAAGGTGCCTCTGCAGAACCCCCAGCCCTCCTGGCTCCAGCTGCCCTCAGACACTGTCCTCAGGCATTGCACCCACTTCCAAAGGCTGCCACAAAACGCACACCAGGTGGAAGGGGATGCTGGAGGAGCCTTACCTCTTCTCAATCGCATGCAGGAACTCATCAAATGCCCTGAAGGGGGTGCCCTCCCCCCAGATCCCCAGGCGGCTCATGTAAATCATGTTTTTTGGCTCAGAGGCACCTGTTGGAACAGAACTCACTGTCAGCAAAACCACAGAAGTCTTTAATAGTTTTGACTCAAGTAAAGTGAACTCTTAAGGGGTGGTCATGCCCCATCGTGCCTCAGGGGACCTGAGGACATTTCCCTCCATGCAAGCAGGCAGCACCACAGAGCTGAAGAGATTGCCAGGACTGAGTTATATGGGAGAGAAATTAGTCTGACCTGCCAAAAGGTCATGAGTACCAGCAATGATGGGGCAGATTTGGCACTCCAGGCCACCCTCTAGCACTGCAGCACCTTTCACCTCTTGTTGCCTAAACAAGCACTTGCAGGGTGTGTGCTCACAGCTCAAGGACACCCTGGAGACCAGAGGAGACAGGTGCCCACAGCTCACCTGTGGCACTGGCATAGACAACCCTTGCTCGAGGCAGCTTGTTCTGAAGGTCCAGCACTGCTTTGCCCATCTTTGTAGAGCTGGCATTTTTGGCTTTGTGGCATTCATCAAACACAATCTGGAGGGGAATGTCAGTTAAGGAGAACAGATCTGTTTTGATCCTGAGGATGGGAGCAGACAGAAGATAAAACCCAACCAACTGAACAGTCCCTGTATCAACAGGCCTGACCAGTTCCACACACTGCCTGAAATCTGTTGGTTTTGCCTAGTCCTGTGCTCATTCCCCCCTCCCTCTCCCTTCACTTCCAAGGTGTGTCCTGGTTTGTAAAGCTGAGGGAGAAGAATGCTGAAGAGGTTAAACCAGCTGCATTCTTCTCCCCTAGCCCTGTAGGCAGTGGAGGAGGAGAGGGCAGGGTGGGGGATGCCTGTGCTCACAGCCTTGAAATATCTACCCCAGGCATCAGGCTGCTCAGCACAGCTGCTGCCAGTGCTTTCAGATGGCCCCAAGCTCTTTGTTCCTTGGTGAAGTACAGTCACAATCATGCAATTCTTCTTTCTCCAGTTCTTTTGGGGTTGTGTTTTGGGTTTTTTAAGGATACAACTCCATCAAAATTCTCTCTGCACCAGTCCAAAATCTGTTTTAAGCGTGTCCTGTGCTGCCCACCTGCCTGGCTTTCACCAATCAGCGCAGAGTAAGTGGCAAAGAGGACTCCTTCTGAGGTAGCTGTGTCACCGTATTTAATCTGCAGGAAGAACAGGAACAGGAGCAGTTCATCATGTCTGTCCCCAGGGGGTGGTGCCCAGAGCCAACCCTGCCACTTGTGCTGTGGCTGTGCAGGACTCGCTGCTGCCAGAACAAAGCCCACTCTGAGAGCAGAGGGGACAATGACATCTTTAGCACGTCTGCTTGGCACTGAGAGCTGGTGATGACAGGGACTTCAGACGTCTGGAGAAGTCCCACCAGCCCATGTGTCAGCACATCTGGTGAACACAGGGTGGAGGCCACGCTAGGACTTCCATTTTCTGGCCAGCTGAAACCACTTCTCATCTTTAAGTTTAGGATGTTTATTTGGTTTGAACCTTCCAGTGGCTTGAATTAAAGTAATTTTAAAATAATTAAAATAATTTTCTTCCAGACCAGGTGAGATTGTTGCCTGTCTCACCATCAAAAATAAAAGGTAGAGGAAAAAACCCCATGGTCCCAATCTGAATAAAGTTCCATTTAAAGCCTTTTTGGTCTGAGGACAAACCTCCCTTTCAGCCCCTCAATGAGGTACATTCAGAGGTGTCAAACACGTGGCTCCCACTGACTCTGTAAGAGCTGGTTGTTCAGACCATTGCAAGCAGAGGAGAGTGTTTCAGTCCCATGTGGCAGGCACAAACCTGATGCACAGGACAAGAGACTAAAGCACAGGAACCCTGTGAACAACCACCACACAACTGCTGGTGCTTTCTTTTGAGAAATACCTCATCCTCACCCCTGAATAACTGGAAGAGTCTGAAAACCCTCTGATGTTCTCAGAGGGGGGGGTGGGTGTCAGTGTGGCCGCAGCCCCTGCCAGGCACCATCTGTGCCCTACACCTGCTCCCTCCTGCTCTGAAAGAGGATCCGTGAAACCAGCGCTGGGAGAGCAGCCCAGGAGAGCAGAGCTCCAGAGCCCCATCCAACGGGAGCTGCTTCCTCTGCAGGGCTCCTCAGGAACAGCAAGAAAGGTTCAAGTGCTGCTGGACCATGCACCTGCCTGGAGACACCTCCCAGCCCCTGCAGGAAGGAGCTCGGAGCTCCCAGCCCTCCGAGGCTCCCAAACCAGCAGGAGTTTCCACAGGCAGCACCTGCTGAGGGAGGGCAGGGCCAGGGGCTGGGCTGGCACCAGCCACGGGGGCAGAGCTCAGGGTGGATCCATCTACCTGCCTGGGGGCTGATTTCCAGACCACCCTTGCAGCTTCTCTCCCTACCTTATTCAAAGCATGCACAGGAATGTGGGAGGCCTCAATGTCCTTCAGGTCTCTCTCAGCATCGTACTTGAGATCGTTGGAGACACTGAACCTGCAAAGCAAGACGTGGGGCTGGTTATGTCCTGAGGAGATGGTCAGGGCACACACAGTGACCAGCAGCTCTAAGGTGGCAGGAGCTGCAGCTGCCCCTGCCCACAGACCAGACCCTGCTGCAGACCCCACGGCCACCAGGACACACTGTGTGTCCCACAGCAGGATCCCACACTCCAGGGACTTGGGTCTGCACTGGGAAGTCCCACCAACACCCCTCTGCACACCTGCATGGAAGGCTCACCCTGCCCTCCAGATAGGACCTGAATCTGCCATTTCCTACTGACACTCCCATTCCACCAACAGCCACTGGGCACAGAGGTGGGAACCACTTACCCAAGGCCACAGCACGAGTCAGCTGTAAAGCCAACTGGGAAACTGGACTTGAAGGAAAAGAGAGACTCCAACAAACAACACCAACTTACCACAGAGCCTTTTTCCTCCCTTTAAGGTAATTTTCAAAGATGATGCCTGCAACTGTCCTGCCCTTTCCAACTCCAGCACCATCCCCAATGAGGAACCCAGCTCGCTGCCCATTGGGTAATAAAACTTCATGTTGCTGCAAAATCAAGAACAGAACTGGAAATTAGACTAGATTTGCCTCTGCTAACAGCTTTGATGGGAGCTTGTAGGAGCCCCACTTAACCCCTGCACATATCCCATCCATGCAAGGGCATTCCCTGCTCAGAGAAATGATGGCAGGAATGGTCAAGCATCATGGCAACGTTCACAAGTGGCAGTTCATGGAAAAGGCCCCTGGGAGCAGAGATGTAAGACACTCCTCACTGCAACAAAACCCAGGGGTCCTTCCTTCTTTGGGAAACACACCCCACACAAGTCCCTGGCTGCAAATAATCCCGTCAAAAGGCATTTAAAACCCCAGGTGCCCAAGTCTCATCACCCACATTTCAGGTTACTTTAAAACACACTTGGACACTCATGCACACAAAGGGCAGGTTCTTCCTGGCCCTGAGCCCTGTACCTGGCAGGCGTAGATGATGGCTTCCAGCTGCAGGGCTGACAGGGACCCCTTGTCGGCCACCGAGCGCGGCAGGGACAGGCAGTAGGTGATGTCGGGGGGGGGGACGCTGGACAGGGTGCTCGTTTCAACCACCAGGTCAGGGTGGTGCTTCCCTATCTTGGCTAAACAACACAGAAAATAAACAACTCAGGTTCTCCCCTCGCCCAGGCCTCATACTGGTGGTGCAGAGGCCCCTGCTCTGGGGCAGAAGGGACAAGTCCAACTCCCTTGCTCTGCACTTTTCAGGTCTGTTGAAATTCCAGACTGGCAGAAACAAGCCATGGCCCCAAGAGCAAGCAACAGAAAACTCTGCTGTCAAATCAGTGTTGCACAAGCAAAGGGGCAGCAGACTGGCAGTTTTTCTACAAAATCACAAGCTGGGGATGTGCCACAGCAAACACCACACACTGCTTGCAGGAACACAGGGGAACAGGCAATGAGGCTGGTCCAGAGTGGAGTTACCTGAACTCCCCACACCCCTGTGATGGCAAGATACTCACACTTTGAAGGTATGTATTCTGCATAGGTCTCTGTTTGCCCCAACTCTTCTGTTTCTTCCTCCTCACCTTCATCCTCCTCCTCTGCCTGAGACTGAAAAGAAATGGAGCATTGACCAACTGTTGATGTTCTCCCTGAACCCTGGACACACACAGCGCCACAAGCCACCACTGAAACCACCCCTATGCAAATTCACAAACCCTTCAAATACAATTAATCTCATTTATAGGCTACAGCAACACAAGGAAACCATCTGTGAGAGCCCACCCAGGGCCAGAAAGGGGCCTGCAGAGCTGCTTCCAGAACCCAGGGATCAGGGAAAGCTTCAGCACCCTGCAGGGAGGGGGCCAGGGGTGGTCCCAGGGCTGCCCCTCTGGGCCCTCAGCTGGGCCAGGGCGAGGAACCAGACCAGCTCCAAACTCAGCATGGGACTCAGCAGCACACAGCAAAGCCCTGCATTCCAGGAAGAGCAGCCTGGAAACCCTGTGCTGCCTCAGCTGTGGAGAAATCCCAAACCATTCCCTAACACTGCGAGGTTCCACCAAGGGAAATGTCTGACACTTCTGGGAAGGTGCAGTGACTTGTCCCTGCCTGGTTGTCTTGGCTGACTCCCTCTGGAGGGAACTCAGATTTGCTGCCCTCCAACTGCCACCTCACCAGGTTGAGAGCCTGGTGGCCCACCCCACCAAAGCCCACCCCCCACACACACCTGGTAGCTTATGAGGAGTGGGGTGCTGGGGACAGCA